CCCAGCCTGGCTGTGGGTTCCTATCGTGGGCTTGATTCCCAATGGGCCCAGTAGCTTATTGAACATTAATCCCGTTTAGGGCTTGATCCCGTTTTATGGGCTAATCCCGTTTAAGGGCTGATCCCGTTATGGGCTAATCCTGTTAATTAGTATAATCCCATTTAAGGGCTGATCCCGTTATGGGCTGAATTATGTAATTGGGCCTAGGGCTGCACAAGAATAACCCAAACCCGCATAACCCGCCTGACCCAACCCTACCCGAACCTATTTAATCGGGTATTTGATTTTCAAAAATATTCATGGGTTAAATATGTTTCAACCCGCACCTAATGGGTAGGGTTGCGGAATTAAAATCTCAAACGCGATAGTACCCGACCCGGCCGAAGTTCATTTTACTATTATTATGCTACACCGTTTTCTTGAATAATTTCAATTTAAAACCAATGTGCTCTATCTAGGAGTTTATGATATTAGAATTATAATTAAACATTTATCATTTTGACTTGGTGATTATTATATATTTACGTTTCCTTCTAAATGAACTTCCTTTACGGAAGGATGTTTTAATACTATTACCTAATGTTTTTGCTTATAAAAGATACAAGTACTTGTATTTGTTTGTGTGTTTTGGAAACAAGTTAATCGAGTTTTAAATTGGTTACATTAATTTCCCACATGAAAGATGCAACGCGAAGTGATTTTTTTCCCTAATACCCGACCCTACCCGACCCGTTCATGCATGGTTTACCTACTTATTTTGCGTAGCACGGGTTGGTTAATAGCCAACCCGAACAAATCGGGTAGGCCCAAAAAATATAGCAAACCCGACCCAACCCGCCCGATGTGCAGCCCTAATTAGGCCATGGTCCGAGTCCATGGTACCATCATTATTTTAGTGCGGAAATGCTAGTTTATTATAAATTTTGTAAATTTTATTTGAATAGATCTATTTTTGGTCCTATGAAATTTAAGTCAATTCCACATTTACTCCACATACATACGATGGTTATTATTTCAAATATTATGGTACAAGACAAAATTAGTAAAAGAAAAAAACAAGCGCGATAAAAATAAACTAGCGTTTTAGGTCAATGGCACATTTAGTCCACATCCACTTTAACATGAATACATGATCTTGATTATTCAATACTCCCTCCGTCCCTTATAACTTTGCCAACTTTCCTTTTTTGGATGTCCCATTAACTTTGCCACTTTCCCATTTAAGTAAAGAATTTGTGGTTCCAGTTAATTCTCTCTCCTCTGCACAAACCTCAACCACACAGTTTTTACTTTATTAATCCCCGTGCCGGTCAAACTTGGCAAAGTTATTAGGGACGGAGGGAGTATTCATCAAGTTCAGTTACACACATGTAGAGCCCGTTTGGAGAACTCTGTTTTCGGCTTATCAGGCTTATCAGCCAGCTTTTTTACCAAACACGTAACTTTTACTTTCGCGCGCTGAATTGTGTAATAAGCCGAAAAAGTAAGGTTGGAGTTACTTTTCTGGCTGTATTGGCTGAAGTTACTGTAGAGGACCATTTTAGCTATTTTTACATATAATTTTTTCTTTAATTTATTAATAAAATATATTTTTAAAATATTTTTTTCTTAAATCAGCAGAATCAGCCAAAACAGCCACTCCAGCCAGAATATCATAAATTTCAGCAGAATCAGCCAAAACAGCCGATTTTGATGCTACCAAACGGGCTCGTAACATGTTTGAGATTTTCCATGCTTAAACGAAGCAACTAAACAGTAAACTAAAAGCTGTATATTCTTAAACAACGGTGCCTAGCTAGTAGCTAACTAGCTACTGCCTACCCATTAGTTTTGCCAATGTGATTCGGTGTACATACATTAATGTTTTTGAAAAATCAAACCATGCATACTGTAACATTTTGAATAGATGCTCTATCTTCGAAGCGTGACAGCTTCTAACATCATAGTACAAAATGTATTTTTAGGCCTGAAAAACGTAATCGACCTTTCGTATCCCTCGATGCAACTTTTCCATTATACAAAAGATATTCTAATGCTTTTTATTGGAGCATCAATCTTCCCATTTTGACATAAAGTCTTAATTGCCAGTAAATTTCAAAATGGTCTTTAAAAGTAAGTAATATGTTGTACTCCGTAACTCAAAGAAGAAAGAAAAGTACGGAAAACTTGCATAAACTCGGCTGAGTTTGAATCTGATCTTTTAGTCTTTATCCGTTATTTGTCTCCTTTCCTCAGCTTTCGTTTGAATTAATTAGAAGGAAAGTAAACCTTATAAAGGCATTTCAATTTATGTCAGGTGAGTAGGCAACTCTTTGATTAATACCAACAATTGTTCCACTACTCCGTATTACGTAGTATAATGTACACTGGGCCCAAATTTCACTTTGGCCTGGGTAATTTATGACTTGTTTAATTTACCAAGAAAAAAGGGTCAAGTAAGTCATTCTATTATTTTCAATCCATTATTTAAGGTTATGTACAAAAAAAGTATCATATAAATATGTCTATTTTATAAATTTGACCATTTAATCCGTTTTTGACCTGTAATAGCAGATTTTTAATATTTCAAAACTCTAAAACATTGTTAAAATTTGAAGAATTATATACAGAAACTGTAAAAAAAATTCAGAATATCGAAGTCAATATTTTTAAATTTTAAAAATTATTTGTATATTCTAGATACATCTATTTAAAGGTTTTATTTTTTGAATTTTTATTGTTTATTTTCACTTTATTTTTTCAGTTCTCTGATTTTTATTTTATTTTAATGTTTTTAAATTTTTACATATTTTTACATTTATACTATTTTTTATATAATTATTAGATCATTTATTCAAATTCATATGATTTTTTTGTAAGATTCATCAATATTCCTAATTTAATAAAAAAATCTATTATAACAGGTCAAATGACTTGATTGATTGTATTTAAACGTAAACATACTTATATGATACTATGTATTTTTTAGTATATGAGCTTAGATGATGGATTGAAAATATTAGAAGAACTTTTGGACCATTTTTCCATTTACCAATGCAATATACATTTTATCAGATAACATTTAATTTCACATACTAAATTGTGTAAAATCTAAAATAAATAAATTAAAGTTAACCTTGGTTTTTTGGATGGATTGATTGAAATTGTTAAACTATACAAGATTCAATCAATTCTACCGTTTCAACTTCAATTTCATCAATTTCAATTTCCACGATTTCCACCATACGAGTTATGTATCTTGTAATTTCTCTTATACTTATTCCCAACGTACCAAACACAGTGATACGATTTGTACCATAGTTTCTAAATCATTAATGTATATACCTCAATTCACTATAAATGATTTGGTTTGCACTTCACTCCTTCACAATTTTTGAACTAATAAGATGGATAAGAGCACACACATGAATGATTTTGAAAATAAAGTGCAAAGTCCTATATCGTCCAAAACATGAATGGTAAAGTCACATTCTCCAAAAAACTAGGTGTATGTACACAAACCTTGTTAAGTACACTTCATATTTTGTATGTGTACACACTCAGTTTAGAAAAAGTTAATACGAAGTAGTTCTTATTTGATCTGTGTACAAATTAAAGATAATAAGTGGATAGAATGTGTATATCTTTTTTTTTTTCCTGAAAGAAGAATGTGTATATCTTTTATGCACATAAAAGTGTCAATACTCAATATCTCATCGATCAAAATAATGTAATACTGTATTTTTAGAAGCCATCCACTCATACCCGGCCGCCGTTCCTTTATATTTCGGCGCTGGTGGGTCTTTTTAAATTGACTATGGAAATATGTCATATGATACGGAGTATATTGTTTATCTTTTTCATTGTAGTATTCTTTTTTATAATCTTTTTCATTGTATTTCCTAATAATGTGAAACGACACGCACATGCCAAAGTCGTATTAGTATTTTAATTATTTTGCTCTTAAATGATGGAATATTGTTCTGGGATGAAAGAAAAATTCAAAAACAAATTGTAATAGTGTACACATTCTGAATTAAGTACAAAATTATTATGAGCATGATGGGGAGATTGAGAAATGAGAGTATTATTTAGAATACTTTTACTTGGAATGAAATTTTCTATTCTGGTTTTGATAAATGTCTGGTCTCTCTGTATTTTATAACTATTCAAGTCTGGTATGATCTGGTCTAATTTGGTCTGGTCTCATCTGATCTGGTCTAGTCTGGGACTAAAAATAGTTCAAGTGAAAATGTCCTTAATTACAAATGGAAGGGAGTAGAAGACGTAGAACTTTATTTATTTCTCAATCGTTTTTGAAGATCAACTCATCAAAGCATATTCTAAGGCCTATAAAGTTTTGAAATAAAATGCTACGTAAAATTGTTATATTAATAAACGATTCATGATCTAAATATCTAAGTAGTATTAGAAAGTTCCAAGTAAATTAAAACTGCATGAACACTGCAAATGTTGTGAAGAAGTCGTACGTACGTTCATATATAAGTCTAAATTTGGTGGTTAAAATGGATGAAAACCTGAATTTCACCAAATATTGAAAGTAATGTATTAGGTTTCAATTAATAGCTTCAAAATTGCTATTTTTTAACTTTAAAGACACTACAAGAAAAAACGTTTTTTGCGTCAACAAAAAGTCGACGCAAAAGAGCAAAAGTTGACGCAAAAAACGTATTTGCGTCAACATGTCGACGCAAAAGGGTTGACGCAAAAGACTGGACGCAAATAATGTTTTTGCGTCGACAATGCGTGACGCAATTAATAAAATATTATTCGCGTCGACATATGGACGGAAAAGATCTTCCGGAAGTAATCATACATAATGTTGACGCAAAAAAGTGAGGATTTATTTGCGTCCAAAAGTCGACGCAAATAATACCATTTTTTGCGTCCACATGTCGACGCCAAATCCTAACAGTCAGTTTTTATAAAATACATTATTTGCGTCGACATTGTGACGCAAATAGCACTGTACAGGTCTGAAATTACACCACATTACCTATTGCTATTCATACAAAACTTTTATTAATAAACCAATAGTACCACAATCTGTCCAAACACAACCAATGTCAACAACACATACATTCATTCAATATCCATAGTAAAAGTGAGTTATCCTACAACGGAGTTTCATTAAATTGTTACCAACAACATCACAAAATGTAAACATAAATAAATTCATGTTCATCTTAACCAAGTAAAAAGCATATTCAACTCCATGTTATCAATCTTGATCATCTTCATCGAGATTCTGATCAGGTTGGTTAGCACTTGATGTAGAAGGAACATCATTTGCGGAGCTGTGTGAAGGAAGTTGAAAGCCAGGAATAAATTGTTGTAGGGCACGAAGCATCAACTCCTGATTTGCTTGCATCAACTCTTGATTTGCCTTCAATTCACTTATTTGAACATCCCGGTGGTCTTGGAACGTTGAAGTAGCGCCATCTTCCACTCGTCGAGATGCACCCTTTGATAGGGTAGGACCCACTCCGCTTTGGCGTCCGCGATATCTTCTCAAGTTCCAATGCATAATATCAATCTCATTTATTGAAGATGATGACCCTGTTTGTCCTAGCTGTGTTTGGTACTCTTCACTCATTTGAGTCTATCAAATTACAATTCATATAGTTACATATCATTAGGATTAGAATTAATAAAATGTTTTTTAATATACTTATGTGAGATGTTATGAGATATATATAGCTCTAAAGCTTAGAAGCTAAAGTGCAGATATATCACATTATAAGAGGCAACAATGTCACCTTGAAATTTCAGCACACGCAGGACAGTCTATCTCCCTTTGTAGAGGAACCTGCTGCACAGTTTAATCATAATAATGTTGACAATAATCACAGCAGTTACTTGTACATACATATACTTTGTAAGTAGTTATTCATTTTTAACTTAGTTTTTTCATTTCAAATTATCTAATACTTGACCATAGATGCAATTTAAGTTTTAAAAAACTCCATAATCGATTTTAAAGGAGGGTGGAGTGCATGTTACTTAAAAAACTCCATAAAAACGGCATTCATTGAGTTTGAATGGGTTTTATACTACGTATTTCAGATCTAAAAAAGACAAAATAGAAAATTAGGGCAAAATTCCATGAATGGATGAATATAAATAGATTGATCGTGTGAAATACCATTCGATTTCGTCATTCTCGAAAAAGTATATGGCAGATTTGTATTTCTTATTGTTTGGGAAAATGGAAGAAAACGACTGTTCATCGGTGTTCTAAGTCAAAACCATTAGTGTATATACCAGCTCTTAGGAAGGAGGCAGGGCCGTTTTTTAGGGGGTTCAATAGGTTATCCAGAACAGGGCCTCCGGATTTATAGGGCCCCAAAATTTTAAAAGTTTATTAGTATTATATAGTAATATTATATATTAATACTAAGCAGTAAAATGTAGTTAGCTAGTAAGGAAGAAAAATATAGATTCATCATTTTTTTCGTTGATCATTTTACTCTTTTAGTTCTCTTTCAATGAGTATTCAATTTATTTAATTGTAAGTATTTGGTTTCTTGCAAAAAAAAAGTATAAGTATTTGGTTTGAGATATTTTTTTACTTTTTTTATATAAAGTGGGGCCCCGTTTATTAGTTTTGAACCAGGGCCTCCAAATTCATTAGACGGCCCTGGAAGGAGGAAGACCATTACCTGAGAATCGTAGGGAGCTGAGAAGAACTCTTCCGGCCAGCTCTCAGGAAGGAGGAAGACCGTGTAGTTGTTTTGTCCTGCCCTAACCGATAGAGAGTGTATTCGCCCTAAGTCACCAGCCGGCCAGTTCTTTAAGTGTATTTCAGTATTAGCGTCAACCCGCAGACGCTATAGTCTACTCGTTTTTATATTTTTTTTTAACATTTCGTTGTTGCGTCAACTCCATCGACGCTAATATTATTAAAAATTCCGGGATTCCGTTTTAGCTACAACATGTTGACGCAAATGGTTAAAATTTGGAACTTCCAACCGGTTAAATATTTGGGTTCTTTTCCGTCCACATGTCGACGCAAAAAGAGTGTCTTTTGTGTCCACTGATGTCGACGCTAATAATTTGGACGCTAATGATACTTTTTGTTGTAGTGAGATAATTTGAACAAAATTCTCCAAACTTTTCTCATGTATGTTTTCTTTTGTACTTGGCCTGTTCCAAACTCGTATAATTTCTGTTTCAAAAGGTTGAATTATACCCAACGTCCCCAAAGCCTTTTCATGCCTCGGCCCGACAATACATTTGAGAGGTTCTAAGTTATGGTGACTCAATCAACCCAATAATGATAATAACACTACAAAAAAAAGTCGGGATTGGCACGGAATTTGGCACGGACTTATCAATTTTTCGTGCCAAATAGCTCGTGCCAAAGTGTTTTTGGCACGGATTTGGCGTATCCCTGCCAAAATCCGTGTCAAATCCGTGCCAAAATCCCTGCCAATCCCGTGTTTTTTTTGTAGTGTAAATTTTATATCCTTGCGCATGAGAGCTAGGTTCAACCCAGTACACATGAGTTATAACTTTCACATGACCGCTGCGAATTTCGATACGTAGTATACCTCTAATTTACAAAAGCATGTGGAAGTGGGATGGAATAGTAAAACCCGAAGAAAACTAGTAGTAGTAATAGCTTAGCTATAAAAGAATTGAACCAGGATAGATGAAAAAAGAAAGGTGGAAAAAGCAATCCAGTCCTAGCTCAAAGCTGGCGATAAAGGGTATCTTCTTTCTTTTCTTAATTAGTGCAGTGGCTAAAGCTAAGGAGAGGTTGACAGAAGAAAATGTGTCAGTGGAATTGTAGGGATCCACTACAAGCATGAGATCGAAGAAGCAGTTGTTTGAGAATTTAGAGTATCTTGTGGGGTGCTCCATATATATCTGGGCCTGCCTTTTGGTGCATGCATGCAGGAAAGCGACAAAATTTGTACCCTATTTTGCCAAGAAACCAGTTTTAATTTACAAGGCAGGCTATTACTTGTACGCTCCTTTATTTTGCAATTTTAGAGACAGGCTCTAGTGGACAATTGACCTAACAATATACCCCTATCTTAATTACTAGTATATGCCTTCCTGGGACAGGATTTACTTTTCTGAACAGAATACACATTAATTAGTGTAGCCAAGTTGGTTAGACACCAAACAAGGTGCCGTCGATAGGGGGGATTATGAAGCATGGGCAAAAGGGCCGATTAGACACCATACATACATTGATACATACCCGTATGTATGTACTACTCCCTCCGTCCCAGAGATTAAGAAAGTGGGAAATGTGTGGTGGAGAGTTGTGCAGAGGAGAGAGAAATGTGTAAGAATGGTTGTGAACCACAAATCCTTTGCTAAAAAAGGAAAGAGGAGATAAATTTGGGACGGACCAAAAAGGAAAGAATGAAGATAATTATGGGACGGAGTGAGTACTATTTTTTGGTTTGATTTGGTTCGATTTGATTGTGTTTTATTCTACTCCCTCCGTCCCCTTTTAAATGGGACAAGAGATGGTGGCACGGGTTTTAAGAAAAGTGAGTTTGTGTGGTTGATATTAATTGATAAAGTAAGAATAAAGTAAGAATGATTTTGAGCCACACAAAGTTTACCAAATAAGGTATGGGGCAATTAAATAGGGACATCCCAATATGGTAAAACGGGACATTTAAAAGGGGACGGAAGGAGTATTTTTCTAGTTCGGTTCGATTTAATATGGTTAGAAAGAAATATTATCAAACTCAATCCAAATTGCATATGGTTTGATTTCGGTTCGATTTAGTTCTTCAGCTTGATATGGTTTGATTTTGTTAAATTAAACTGATATGCTCACCCTTAGTGTTAATGACACAAAAGATTTTAAAAGAAACGAATTGTAGTTATTTGATAAAACTAAAGTTGACGGCTTCATTTGGTTATGTTTGGTATAATAATCTCTTACAACTAATTAATACTAAAAATTAGAAACTTTTTGGTAGGATCTCATCTAATCAGTGTAGCTTATACACAACTTTTAAAATTTGTTTTTCCAAATCTACATCTAAGATCTCTGTTTAAATAATACGAAAGTTAGAGAAGGTAAGGACATTTGTATACCAAACATTACTCATCAATTGAATACAATGCTTTTCGAATTGGATTTTTTTATGGTTTAAAATCTATTTAATTGTATTGGATGAATTAAATTTTCAAATTCACGCTACACATCGATCTATTACAATTGTATTAGACACTATTGCTTGTGCACACCACTACTAGGAAAATGTTGGAATGTTTTAATCAAAATTTCCAACAAAACACATATACTTTTTCCAAAAAAAAAACATATACTACACAATTCGCTAGATAAATGATACTTCAGCATTATAGATAGAGTATATGTAAGGATCGATGTTTTTTGTTGGACTATTTTCAGTCCTAAATCAGAGTATCAGACTACACCAGACTTAAACAGATCAGATCATATGTAAACAAATCAAATCAAATTAGACTAAACTTGAACAATTATAAAATACACAGAGACAAGACATTGACCAAACCATGAGATTTTGGTCCAAAGAAAACATCTTAAATATGCACCACATACTTTCAGCCTCGAAGAAAATAACTTAAATAGTACCTCAGCGATTTATTTATTTGTTTAGTGAGGAATCCTGTTGGTGAATACGTCAAAGATTTACGGGGGGGGGGGGGGGGGGGTGCATTATTGATAATTAATTAATAGTATATCGTTACATACATAATACTCCAGTCTTATATATGGAGTATATGTAAATATGCACCACATCACATTGTCTCAAAGAAAAATAATAATGATCATGGAGCATGCTCATTATGAGTATGTAGGATGATATATAATTAACATGTAAAGCATATGTATAAAAAATTCTGAGCATGGTCGTCACAATTATTAGAAAAAATCTGATAATGCAATTAATCTATGTGTAATATTTAAAATGTAAAGTATTACATTTTGTTATCTTATCTTCGTGTGGGGCAAAGAAATGGTACAATATCTTGAAAAATCTAATCTGCAATTTCTCTCTAAGATTTGCTATTGACCTTAATCTAAATAAAGTCAAGCAGTACTATAAATAGAAACATATCCATTTATAGAGTAGTCTTCATGTCATGCCGGCCTGACGGGATGCTCCGTCCGGCCGAGGGGCATTTCGAGAACTTCTTGGTGGAATTTTTTTGATGAAATTTTTTGAGCATGTTCTTCATGAAGTCTAGTTTATCCATACCAAATTTCAGCTAAAAAGTCAATCGATAAGACACTCAAATAATTTCTTGAAATTAATTGGGCAGTTTATATGTATAAACTGAAATGCCCTCGGCCCGACGGCGGTTCCCGTCAGACCGGCTGAACATGAAAAAGTCCTCTCCATTTATATTATTACCCGTCTTTAATTTATGTATTCACATTCCCAAAAAAACGAAAGCATTTGCACTTTGCAGTATGTTTTGTGTGAAAGAAAAACGATATACTCCCTCCGTCCCATAAAATAGTTCCCGCATTGACTTGGATCGGAGTTTAAGAAAGTAGGAATAAAGTGTAAATGTATGGTTGTGGTTGAGTAAGAAAAGAGTAACTGAATGTGAGTCACACAAAACTTTCCAAAAAGGGAAATATGAACTATTTTTTGGGACAGCCCAAAAAGGAAACCAAGAACTATTTTGCGGGAAGGAGGGAATATTTATTTTTAATAAAGAAAATTGGCTTATGTCCCATACCTAATAAGAATGTTAGCATTAACAATTCTTTGTTTCTGCCGGAATATTACTTTTCCGGTAAAAAATTGATCAAAAAAGTCTCTGCTGGCGACATATTTTAAGCCAAAAATAGTAATCATACTCACAAGCTAAATAATACTTCACAAGCTAAATAATATTATTTTGCATTATTTTGCTTACCAAATAAAGAAAGATG